CTGTAAGGGAAGCAGCGCATGAATGGCGGTGCTTTAGGGGGCATCCACCTTTTAACTGCCTTTCTCTGAACTCACATCTTCGCATTTTCTGAAAAACTCTAGGAGGGAGCTACATCGAGAAATTCAATTGGGTGGGTATTATACTTTTGAAGGTTAAGGGTTTAGCATGTTAATTTTATTTGTATTTTTGTCTTCCAGTGTCAATAAGAAATGAATGGCATGTATGTAAATGCTCTGTTTGAGTGGATAGGGTTATGGAAAACAAAGCTTTGCTGCAATAATTTTCCGTGCGGCAGAGAGGCCATGATTGTCCGAGAGATGAGCTACTGGAGCGTCATCTTTGTAGCAGCAGACGCAATGTTTTGACATCTGTAAGGGAAGCAGCGCATGAATGGCGGTGCTTTGGGGGGCATCCACTTTTTAACTGCCTTTCTCTGAACTCGCATCTTCGCATTTTCTGAAAAACTCTAGGAGTGAACTACATTGAGAAATACAATTGGGTGGGTATTATACTTTTGAAGGTTTAGGGTTTAGCATGTTAATCTCCAATACTCCGTTATATGTGGGAAAAAATAATTGTGAAAAGCTTCTTATACACATTTATGTTACAATTGTGAAATAAACATACTTCCCATTAGTAGCTCTCCTTGTATCCTCTTTACAAAAAGATGTTGATCCCGAAATTCATTTTCTTCTTTGAAAATGATAGAAATTTGACACTTTGTTCAACTCATCCCGTCATTAAATTTAGAATGGGATTTGGTTACTTTAAAATGATTTGTGGTTATCTTTACTTTTTTCACGGTGGACTCCCAGTTGGTTGATGAGAAAATAAACCTTGATGGAATTTAGTTTCTTATCTGACGAAGATTTCCCACATTTGAAGAAGATGGTTGTTGAAAATACTTATGTTGTGAGTATTGTTGCTACTGTTATGCCTGAGATTCAAAGTTCTACTGAGTATGAAAATTTTTAAAGTTCTTAAAATTCTTGAGCCCGTTGAAGAAGTAAATGATAAATTGGTAAAAGTATTGGGTGAAACTTATAACATTTTCTTAGTTTTCAAAGTCGGCTCATTTTCTACGATTGTTCCTATATTGACTAAAACCGAATAGAAATAGGAATTGAAGAATTCATAAGAGAGATCTTGGGGCTAATAGAGAAGAAGTTAATTGAGAAAGATACACATGAGATTGAATCTGACTTGTTTGAAACATCCCCTCTTAGATGGAATTAGGTTTCACACACTTTCTGCTGTCAGATATAAAGAATATGGACTTGAGATAGGTGATTCATATCTATCCCCTCTTAAATGAAAACCCCATAAAAAAGGAAATAAAGATCTTTGTCATTTTGGATTGTATCAAATACTCTCAAGAGGATGGCAGAGAAGAGGAAATAAACCATGGTTGAAGTTCTAAAGTTTTTAGGATGTATGATTCCTAAAAAGAAAGGAGGAGATTTTGGAATAACATAGATCTTCAAGGAAAGAACAAAAATATTTAAGAATGTAGGTCTTTGCTCATCGTTTATCACCAGAAGTATTGCCTTATATTCCTAAACATTTTGATAGAACTAGAAAAGTGAGACTAATGTCACTTGAAGCTCCTCCATTCATTTCAAATTCTTCCCAAGAAATTTCCAATACTGAGAATGAGAATAAGGCTTTCCCATTGATGATGAAGTTAAATACAAAAGTTAAAGTAACACCTCCTCATACATAGGGAGATAAGCTAGAAACCCCTTCTCTACTTTTTTCACATGTTTCAAGGAAGGTGCCACAACTTCAGGAAATTGAAAAGTCTGGATTTGAGATCGCTGAGAAGATAGTTAACGTGATAGATATCGATATAGAACCCAAATATGTCTTTATTGATCCTAAGAATGTTAAGCGTAGACCCATTGACGAGGCTTTAAATGAATTGGAAGCTAATATGAAGCAATTGAAAGAAGAGGGTGAAAATCCTAAAACCTTAGAAGTAGAAGCCACTGTTCTGATGGTTGAAAGTAGGTCTTTAGAGAAATATTGGAGTATAATACAGATTTACAAGACGTTATGGCTGAAGAAGGTGTCATATGGGACACAACCCACACTTTTAAACCATCTAACATAAAGAGATGAAGTTATTGAAAGATTGCAGAAAATGATGGAAGTAATTATGAGTGTTATCTCGCTAAATCAAAATCATATATTAGTATACCCCAAGATATGGAAGTTGAGAAGGATCCGCAACCCAATATAATTCAACATATATCGGATGAGTTGAATCAATTAGATAACCACATTGAGAAATTGGAAAAGAAAATAGATGAATTGCTAGCTTCAATACCTCCTACTCGAAATAAAACTACTACTTTGATGCTTGTTCAAAAAGAGATGGAGGAACCCAAGGCTATTCATATTATTGGTAATTTCAGGGCAAGAATCGTTCAAGAGGAGGTCTCTAAGACATAGTCAGGAAGACTGTCATAACCAAGTATGGGGCTTGGAATTAACCAAGACGGTAACAGATGGTCAGACGACAGAATTAAAAATTTCGTTATTCATTTTCTATACCTTGATATTAACAGATAAACGAGCAACTAATCAATATAAAGTAAAGCAATGTATTTAATGTTATATTGTTACTAGTTGTCCGCATATTCTATAAATGTTATCACTTCTAACGCTCATCGTCGATTGCTTAATTAACCTGAAAAGTTAGTTTAAAATAACCATGAGCTACATGAGCTAGTGAATACTCATATTGTTAAAGTACAACAATATAAGGAAAAACAACATTCAAGCCAATTAAGCTTCTTTATAAATTAATATGAACATTTAACATGCAATTTAAAGTGCCTTATTATATCATTAGCATATCAGTATTGTTTCATATTTATAAAACAGTTAGATGAGCACCATCTAAAAATTGTACTACTTAAGATACCTAAATATCAATATTGTTTTCCATATGCATGCATGGGTACATTTGGGGAAATTGGTATTATCAAGGGATGACTCCATCATAGTGAATCACATACAAGCATCCAATTAAAATATAATTTTTAAAGAATTAAAAAATATTCAGTTCTTATTTGCATAACTGTCAAATCACTCAATAAAAATGTGCACTCATATCAATCCTTCAATATGAACAAAAACTCATTATAATTCAAAATCATGCTATTACAATCATTTACCATATAATTAATAAAAATACTAATTAATGTATTCAGTCCAAAAGAAGCAAAATACCATCATAGTTAAAGAACTTGAGTAGTCACCTCAATCACTGATAATTCTAAACGTTCTCATCACTTATCTCCAATAAGAAAAATAAAGTCAATTGCATAAAAATTGGTATTAAC